TGGGGAAGACGGTGGCAAGCTGAACCGAATAAACTTTAGCCGCAGCTTCGTGATGTTCATCAATACTAGGTACTTACGACAGTGATGGTATTTTTCCAGGAGTCATAAGAGTCGTTAACAGCCCTAGAGCCATCTAGTTTCCAAACCAAACAGACGAATATGATCATTGCCGTTGAAAGTAGCACTGCTGCGCAATCGGTTGGCAGAGACGAAACTCCCACACGGCGTCGTGGTCTCTTGACTTCAGAAGCGGCGTTGTCCTCCGTGGATACCGGCTTATACTTGAAATAGGTGTTGCTCTGCTGCTCTACTGGTTTTCCGTTGGTCTCCTGCTCGACAAGACGGCCAGGAAGGGATGCCTGGCCAGAATCAGCCTCAGCAAGAAGTGATCTCGCTGCAGGGGGTTGGTTGCCATTGGAAGATAAAGATTGGCGGCTGGGAGGTGTTCCCTGTAGTGACATGTTTGGACAGGAGTTTTGTATCTTTTCTCGAGCGCTTCAATGCATACAGCTGCTATACTTCGATTGCGAGCTCAGAGAAAGGAGATCCGTGCCGCACACTTTGAAGAGAAGCAATAGGTATACGACGACAGGGACGATCAATAATAACGACGACGACGACGATAATAAAGATAATAATAGGGATGGAGAAAAGGATAAGAATATCGATAATAGTAGTAAAAGTCAATCGAGATAACATCAACTGTTAGACTTAACGTAAGTATTTATCCGCCCGGTTAACTAGAAGTATCCGCCCGAATACCAAAACTCATTTCAATGGTCGATAATGTGGTGGAGGGTGTGATGTATTGATTTAGAATTTGAGACTTACGTATGTTGGAGGCAGCCACGCAGCCTAGCACCTTAAGCATGCTTCAACCGATCTAATGGACACATCTAAAACCCAAGGCAGCCTCCGTTTGTTGAAGTCCTCGGGAATCGTACATTTCTACCCTTTATAACCGATTGCGTGAACGTTGTTGGTGTTATGATTCTGTCTTAGCCACTTTCCCGTGCTGAGTGAAATTAAGGGACGAAACCAGGCATCTGGCTGAACGACAATCAGGATTTGATTGGATGAAGCAATGGAATTCATGGCACAAGCGCCATGGAAACATTACACGCGGGCCAAATGAGGAAAATGAATGTACCCAACATGATAGTGGATAGGAGGAAGCTGGATGCGGCTAATTCGACATACGTGTGGAAATCAGTGATGTATGCTACAACCTCAACTCCAAGTCGAGTGTGATCCGGGCTTCTAGGGGAATAATCTGTGGTGTCCACGTTGCCTGGTGGACTGAAATTTCCCCCTCTCTTGATTTAACTTCAAGGCATTTTATCAAACGACTAGAGAAGTCCTGTTAGTTCTCTCAACGATTCCGGGTTCATATGGAAAAGCTTCTTAGATTGAACTGACTCGGTATGCGACAACGTGATGTGTCGTCGAGGAAAAAACTCCCAAGAATATAGCCGTGCTCCCTGTTCCAAGCCTGCCTGAACCATTTCATCTCCTTCTACATTGTGCATCTAACGGTTGATGAAGCCAGCACAGATGGGATCAACACGACAAGATGCCCCAGACTACACTCTTACGAACCCATTTCTCACGTCACAGATGGAAGATGAGGGGCAGACACCACCATCCCCTCGCCAAAACCCTCCGATCCCAAATACCACGTCCATCTCTTACATTATTCGGCCGCTTACCACCGCATCCCACCGGCCATGCTCTCCATCGCCATCCTCCTCCCTTGTCCAATTGGTCTGCTCCCGCGATCATCGGTGGGGGATGATCAGATAAGATTATCCCATGCCACAACGTTGCATCAACCTTAAAAGCCTTCAACGCTCGCCCCCGGGAACCGTCCGAACTCGGGGTGGGACGAGGACGCCCCGCCAATGAAGACGTGCTGCGGGGACGGCGCCCGGCGGTCGAGAAGCCCGGCATTGGCCCGTTTAAGCTATCGGACGCTATCGCGCTGATTTATGTACATCCCGCCATGTAAGTCATGCTGCGCCCGCCCCCTCGACCGCACGATCGGAATTGTTCTTCAGCGCCTCTTCCCGTCCCCCTTGCATCTTTTAGATCACCGACATCATGGACGGCACGAAACTCCCCGAGCTACCGGACCTCCAGCTGCAACCGGGCGTCACCAAAGAATCCGTCGACGCCGTGCAAATAACGACATCGTGGCTGACTACCCTTTCCCAGCGCTTCGCCGACAAGAACTTCACCCTCTCCGACCTCTTCATCGAGAACTGCTGGTGGAGAGACATCGTCGCGCTGTCATGGGACTTTTCATGCAAACAGGGCCAGGCGGCCATCGCAGCGTACCTTTCTTCCGCAGAACACGGCCTCTCGCAGCTTGAGCCGAACAAGTTTGGGGGCCTACAGCCTTTGCTCGTCGACTTTGGCGGGCAGATCTGGATCCAGTCTGGGTTCACGTTCCGGACGCCTCATGGAGAAGGGAAGGGGTTGCTGAAGCTGATGAATGTGAGCGTGGGCGAGTGGAAAGCCTGGACCGTGTTCACGCAGCTCGAGAGGCTGGATTATCAGAGGGAGTTGGAGAAGCAGAGGGCTGCATGCGTGCCGCCTGCGTTGGCGACCAATGGGACGAATGGGACGGACAGAGAGGAATTGCAGGTGTTGATCGTTGGCGCAGGTGAGTTGCCATGAGCTCTGGTAAGATCAGTGATTGACAGCATGGCAGCGCAAGCTGGACTGATGCTCGGCGCGCGACTTCAGCACATGGGCATCAAGACCCGTCTCCTGGAGAGGAGCTCTCGCCTCGGAGACTCCTGGCGGAAGAGGTATCAGAGCGTCACGCTCCACACGCCGACTTACACGGATCACTGGGCCTACATGAAGATCCCCGAGACGTGGCCCAGGTTCCTTACCGGAGACAAGGTGGCAGAGTTCATGGAGCACTACGGCCAGCTGATGGGTCTCGACATCCAGTACGACTCTGACGTGACAAAGGTCACCTACGATGAAGTTGCCAAGAAGTACACTGTCCAAGTCACGACGCCAGAGGGAACACGCACGCTCTCCGCGAAGCACGTCGTCCTAGCCACCGGCCTCTTTGGAGACGAACCGATCGTGCCCGAGTTCAAGGGCCAAAAGTCTTTCAAGGGGCAGATCTACCACTCCAAACACCACAGGTCCGCCGCCGACATCCCGGATGTGGGCAACAAAAAGGTTGTGGTGATTGGCTCAGCCACCAGCGGGCACGATATTTCCGCAGACTTTGTCGCACATGGCGCCAAGGAGGTGACGATGATGCAGCGCCGGGCCATCTACTCCATCTCCCGCGAGTCCTGGGAGAACTTCATGCTTGCGCTGTGGGAGATCCCCGGCCTCGGCACGGAGGAAGCCGACATCGTCGGCAACGCGATCCCGCTGGCGGTCATCCGGAAGATGAGCATCGGGCTGACCAAGATGATGGCGGCGCACGACAAGGTCGTCCACGACGGGTTGAAGAAGGCCGGGCTGGCGCTGAAGGAGGGCGAGGACGGTTACGGTCTGGCGGACTACCAGCTCATCAAGGGGGGCCAGTATTACATTGACCAAGGCGCAAACCAGATGATCATCGACGGCCGGATCAAGATCAAGAGATGCGAGGAGGGGGCGCGGGAGTTTGTGGAGGATGGCCTGGTTCTCGCTGACGGGACGAAGCTTGAGGCAGACGTCGTGGTGCTTGCTACCGGGTTCCAAAAGGAGACCACCACTATCGAGAAGCTGATGGGCTCGGAGGTGTCGAAGAGGCTGCACAAGTTTGGGCAGTTGGACGAGGAGCAAGAGCGATCTGGGGTAAGTCAAGGATCTGACAACGATTTGGGTTGATGCTGACTGGGTGTAGTGGTGGCGATCAACAGGCGTACCTGGATTCTGGTACATGACCGGCAGCTTCATGTACTGCCGCCAGTTCTCGTTGCCGTTAGCGCTGCAGATTGCCGCCGTCGAGAAGGGCCTGAACAAGTCTTATTACAAGGAGACATAAGACCTGAATATACGGGACGAGACATAGCATTGGGTTGGACATCTGCTTGTTGGATTTAGTCGGGGGAAAAGGTACTCAACATGGCGCTCAACGTGGTTGGATGGCGGGATAGCATTCTGATGGGCCGGTGCATCAACTGTCACCAAAGCAACGAAGGAGTTATTATTTTCAAAAACATGGACGGTTCGTGATGATGGGCCTGAATCGAGTGACTTCAAATCGCTGGCCAAGCAACATGGTGATGATTTCACAAAGTCTGCTAGCAGCTCACCTCGGGTCTCGCGACCTGGTGGTCCAAAGAAGTTATGACGGCGTGGGCAGCCGCTGGGAGAACGATGTGAGTATTATCGCTTGAACTCGCCCCCATAATGAGGCCTCCAAAACATGCAGTTGCGATTATCTTAGTGCAAGAACCGTAAGCAAAGGATGAGTTTGGCTGGACGTACACTTGTTGTAGCACAAGCTTCACGACTTACACCAACAGATGCTACACGATGTGGACATGCTCCCCGATGGATGCACGTTGAAGCGCCGTAGTGAGATATGAGCCGACCGCGAAGAGTTAACCAATGGAACGATAGACGCGATCGGAATGCTAGATCAAAGCTGTCTCACACCCTGGAACGAAAGGTCTCTCTTCTTCGCCGCCATCAAGGTGAGGAAGCTCGACTTCGGTCAGCTCGGTCAATCCCACTATCAGCACGTGACCCACTTACCGCCTAAGCCCGATAAGGATAACGTTCGGAGAAGTGTCCTCTCCCCCAAAGAGGTCCTGCGCAAAGCGACCGACTAATTGACCACCTGGGCGGCCGTTCGCTCGTCTCGCAACCAACAACACCTCTCTTTCTTGTCTTCACCACCACCACCACCACCACATCAAACGAACCCTCACGCCGTTACGAACACGGTCGCCTTCAACACCCAAAAAAAGATACCCGAAGACGAAAGACACCTCACCCACCTTAATACACACCACACACCACCAAAACCGCCCAACATGTCGGAACTCACACACTTCGACCTCCTCCCCCTCCAAATAGACCCCCAGTCCAAAGCAATCTCCTCCACCTCCTCCTCGCGCGCGCTGCAAGCCGAGCTCGCCCAGCTCAACGCCCTTCACCGCTCCCTCGTCACCTCCGACACCACCACCCAGCACGGTGTCCCCCCCCCGCCGATGCCCGTCAACCCCAAACGCTCCGCCAACGTCTCCAAGCTCCGCGACTCCGGCAACGCCGAGTTCCACAAGAAGAAGTACGCCGAGGCCGTCAAGTTCTACACCCTCGGCCTGCAGATGGCCCTCACCCGCCCGCTGTGGGAGCCCTCGCAGCTCGTCCGCGAGGAGGTCGCCAGCCTGTACGCCAACCGCGCGCAGGCGCACATGGCGCTGCAGCAGTGGGCCGAGGGCTCCGTCGACGCCGAGGCGAGCGTCGAGGCGAGGAAGGTCGGCAACGCGAAGGCCTGGTGGCGCAGGGGCAGGTGTCTGATGGAGATGGGCCGCCACGAGGAGGCGAGGGAGTGGGTTGGCAAGGCGCTCGAGTACGAGGGCGAGGAGGGCGAGCTGGTTGCGCAGTTAAAGGAGATTGAGGCCAAGATTGAGAAGAAGGAGAGTGCTTGAGGGAGAGGTGTTGGAGCAGGAACTTCTTTATGATTGATCAGGCACCCAGACGTCGCGAGGGCTTCAAACGTGCGACACGAGCATGCCAGCGGAGGACAGTCAGGCCGAGGGCAGAGAGCTTGGGAGTTGGGCGCATCCTGATAGATTGGTGCCGAGGGGCTGTCGCATGCGCACCGAGGCTTACTGGAGCTGGGCACTTCCGTGGACACATACATCATATGGTAGTCACATGGCCGTCGTGAGCATCCGACCGACGTGGGAGATATGGCCGTTTAGCATTTCTAGTAGTATACCACATGTACCGATACCATGACTATGAACCCCAAGTCTGCGGAGGAAGAGGAAGAAAAAACCCCGTGCCGTGATTCAAGTCGCATCATGTGGTAGCCATGCCTCGCAGCGAGAAACGAAGAAGAAAAAAGGTATGTAAATGTAACGTGGACAGGGGGAGCATCGTAGTAAACCATTTAAACACTATGCGTGGGATGTCATCATGGCGTTTCGCTCCGACATCCTCTGGATATCCCAACAGACCAAATCAAAACATGCGTGAGGGGGTGCTTATGTTCCCAGCCGCTATTCCCATTATCCTCCCTTGCTACCGTTCGCAGGTCCGTAGGTTGATATTCGGCTCGACAGCTTCGCAAGGCCGGTTCGTTCATCTGCCGGTTTGGCCTGCCTCGGTTCCTACCCAACCAGGGCCGGAAACATAATCATTGTTCCTTTTGATCCTGACGGCCGCTGTTCATCGGCCCTGGTCCCTCGTCGACATTCGAGTTGGTGTTGAGCGTGGACTCTGGCGGCCGTTTCTTTTAATTTGCCATGATTGACTGAGTGACGAATGGCGCAGCGTCGCTTATGCAGCAGTGGTCTTCTCGGTCAAGGTCTTGCCGCGGGGGCGCATAACGGCGTCCTGACTGCTCATTCTCCGGTCCAGCGCACGCTCCAACTTGGCACCGAGGGCCAGCTTGCTCATGTTGGCCGTCTTCTCCTCGCTCAGGGTGACTCTTTGGGAGCTGAGAGCCTTGTTCTCCATGCGGTCGAGGCCGGTCGCGATGTCGGCGATCTCAGCGTGAGCCGAGTCGGTGGTCTGGACGGTGTTCGCAAAGGAGGGCGCCATGCTGTAGGTACTGTATCGCACAGAGGCTCGCACCTGTGGAACGGGAGTCTCGGTCAGAACGGCGGTCATTTTGGGCGGTATTGGGTAGGATAGAGAAGAGGGGGATGGAAGGAAGGGGGGATCGAACGGGAGGAGTAAGGATTAAGATAGTAGCAGCGCAGCGGCAGCAGGAACGGAGGAGGTCCACGTGTGGGATGAGCTGTCGGGAGGTGCGGCGTCAAAGAGCCAAAAAGGCAAAAAAAAAAAAGGGATCGAGGACGAGGCGCAGCAGGGAGCAGAAGGGATGGACGGATTTGCAGCCAGCAAAGCAGCCAACGGGAGGGACGTCAAGGAGGAGGACAAGGCAGGTGAGGGCTAGAGCGCGAAAGGCAACATCAGGAGACAGAAGAACGTACTGAGGGTGCCATGATGGGACGAGAGGAATCGAGTGAGGTGGGCATTGTAATTTTTGACTTTGGCGGGATCCCTGCTTGAAAAGGTTCGTCAAAGTGGCCGTCCGGACCAGTTCGTTGACGAGAGAATGGTTCGAGTTTCCACAGCCCGGGGCTTGCTTCACGACTGTCGGACCAAGGCAGACAGGTGCAGGGCGCAATTGGGATGACGGAAGAGAGCGAGCGGGCTCTGCGGGTTGGGTTGGTTTGCAGCGGCGAGCGGCGTGAGCGTAGGTAGGTAGACCGTGAGGTAGGCGGCAGCGGCAGCGGCAGCGGGAGTCAACGACAGGTGTCGGTAGGGGCTCCGGGGGTGGGCGAGAAGAGGAGAAATTCGATCGCTTCGGGGGGTGTGGCCGGTATTGCGTATTCTGGAGTGTATCCGTACACTACAGTTGATGGTAGGGTATGGAGGCGAGAGGAGACCAGCGACGGGGACTGGAGAAGGGTTTTGAGGTTGTTGAGTGGTTCAGAGGAGTGCCGGGTGGATTGTTGGCGAAGAGTGTGTCGGTCAGAGTGGAATCGAAATGGGAGGTGAGAGAGGGCAGCACAGGCGAGATTGAAGTTCGGGGGGGGACGATCGATGGGTCCGGACTGGGGACTGGGTCGTATCGGGTGCAGAACGGTCGTGGGCACGATGATGCGGTGGGCAGCAAGGCAGCGTGATGTCCGGGAAAAGGAGAAGAGAGAAATTGAGGAGAGGGAGATGGAGATGAAGAAAGTCGAGACTCTGGTTAGAATTGAACGACTCGGGGAGCAGCAAGTGCAATGCAGGGCAGAGCACAGAGCACAGAGCAAGGCAAGGTAAGGTAAGGTAAGGTAGGTACGGAGACGTAAGGTAAGGCAAGCAGCAAGCAGGAGCAAGTGCAAGTGCAAGTGCAAGTGCAAGGCAGGCGGTACCTTGCCTTAGTCAAGCGAGACAAGGTGAGGGAACAATTGCAAGAGCAAGAAGAGCAAGAGCGGCAGCAGCAGCAGCGGCAGGAAGGAGCATGGGACACGACACGGGAAGGAAGGCAGGCAGGCAGGTAGGCAGGGAGCAAATAATAATTAATTCAAGCAAGCAAGCAGCCCAGGCAAGCAGCGCATCAGGGACAGCATTCACCAGGTACCTACCTACCTCACCTCACTGCACCAGTGACAGACACACCTCACCTCATCCCACCCTTTCCCGTCTGCAGACAGTGCAGAGGCTAAGGCTACGCTGAAGAGAGACTAGCAGAGATGAGAACCGGTGGCCATCGGGGTTGATTTGTTAATCATCTCACTCAGGTACCTAAGGTAGGTACTTGAGGTAAAATAGGTACTCAGGCCGGTCGGCTCGGGTACCTCTCACTTGCACTAAGCAAAAGTCAGGCAGGAACGGAGGGCGGGAGGTGACGAAGGAGGGCAGCCACGTTCGATCAGGGCAGCCTCCTTCCGCCCACGGAACCGTACCTGCTTGCAAGATAGTGGTTGGGCCAGTCAGTGACCTATGGCCAGTGACGATCAGGCAGGTGCAGGTGCAGAAGGTGCAGAGGGTGTAGACTGCCTGCAGTGAATGAGCCCGGCTGCAATGGCAGGCACGCAGCAAGGAAGGGAGTGAGTGCCTGTCTGGGAAAGGCGACCCAAATCTCAAACGAGATCAGGAGAAGGTGCGCCTAAGTGGGCGACTTCCTCCCCTGTGTGGGCCCTTCTCCGGAAGGTTGCGATGTGGAAAAAGCGACTTGCAGCAGCAGCATCAGTATCAGCACAGCAGCAGTCACAGTCACCTAGGTAGGTAATCGTGCCTAATAACCGCTGCACACAGGCGATTGTCGCAGACCGATGTTCGGGTACTTCGCAGAGACGGGCTGTCCGCTAAGCAGAAAACGGCACGCAGACAGCAGCCATGTGCAGGTCAGGGATCTGGACAGATCCCGGGACATGGGCCAGACCAGCGCCCACTGGGCAGACACTTACTATGCAGTCGGGTACTAGTAGTACGGAGGCATGTACACATCTTCAGGGCCGATCCATGCCCGCCGTTTTCTTGCACCTGTGTTTTTTTCTGCTACACACCTAGGTACTGAGAGAAGAATGAGTGACAGGCGGCGCGAGATCTAGAGATCTAGAGCTCCATGTCTCTGTGTCTAATGTCTAGTGCAGCGCCATTCCCAGCCGCCCTACCAACAGAATAGACCAGTTCCTGCGTCTTAGGACGGACGACTGGACTGCGACCAGCCTTTTCTTTTCCCCAGGGGTCTCCAGCTGAGGTGAGCTGGTAAGGGTCATCTAAGCCCCATGAGTCTTCGTAGGTACTGCGTAGATGCCAGAAATAGGACCGCTGACGGCCTCACCCACCGTCAAATCTGCCTTCCCGTTCGGACATTTCCTGTGGTACGCGTACCTACCTGCGGAGGGGCCGGGTACGTACTCTCCCATCCCTTCCTGCTGTCCACGGCTATCTGTAAGGCGAGGCAGGCAGGCAAGCAATCAATCTGTGGCAGGAACAGCCTGGTGTTCAACAGTGCAGTGTCAGCCAGGCCGACCCGACGATGGAGGTGCCTTCCTTCCCCTTGATACAGACTCGCCAACCTTTTTTAAAAAAATTAATTAACTAAAAAAAAAAAAAAAAAAAAAAAAAAGGGAAGAAAGGACATCGCGTGTCGCTGTTGCCATTCCTGATGATGGGGGTTGCTTCTTTCCTCCCTCTCGCCTTCCATTCATGGATGTCGGGTGTGGTGACTGGTCTGGCATATCAGCTTCCTTATGCCGGCGGGCCTGACTGCCCTGCCCTGCCCTGCCTTCCTGGGTTTCGTTCCCGACACCCAGTCCTGTGGATGCCATGTTTCCCTCTCTGCCTTTCCCATTCCCATCTCCCAACCATCACCCATCATCCATCATCCATCATCCATCACCCTCACCCTGGCACACCACCAGTCCACCACGTCCACCCACCAATCTGTTTCTCCCAATCTTTGTTTTTTCCGCCCTGCCCCCCCCCCCCCCCGTCCCATGTCGCATATCCCCCGATGCTAAGTCTGGATGCCCCGAAGCCCATGCCCCGGCCGCAGCGTTTGTACCTTGCAGTTTGCACCGCGTCTGGACCCCCGGCGCCCATTGTCGCCTCCCGTTGTTGGCCGCATGCGTCCGACCTGCAGCTCACCAGCTGAAGAAACACATGCGCGACTCCTCAAACCCCACGCCTTGCCAGATATCACATTCAGGAATACTTGCACAACCGCCTTCGCCGCCGCTGCCGACTCTACTTTACGCAGTCTTGCAAGCCAATGCCGCTATCTGCTGATATCGGTCCACGTCCACACGTCAGTCAGCCCGCTTGGCTTCATACAGTCCACACACCCGCCACCACCAGCCATCACCGCCCGCCACCATCCACCCATCGTCGCATACAGCCCGATACAGACACACGCACATACATTTCCATCCATCCATCCCTTCCGGCCTCCCTCTCGCTCAAGTCACCACGGACAGGGGGAGACAGGAGACGAGAGCCTAGCCCCTATCGTGCCTGTGCCCCGGCTTACGCCTGTGGCCGCTATCACAGAGATACGATGCGCTACGCTGAACTCACAGAGGCCCGCTTAGACGTCCTTCAACACTATCTGCAATAGGGGGCCATACGGTACACCTCAGATCAAAGTACCTACTGCATACCGAGTACACTAGGTGCTCTGCAGAGTACCTCGCTGCCAGTCACATCCATCCCATCCGCGACGCCTTGCATTGTGTCTCCTCGCCGGCTCCAACACCTTTCGATGCGCCTACGGGGTCCGAGAGCCACTTCAATCAATCACCGTTTAACCTGCCTCTTCATCTTCACACCCACTCGCAAGAACCACAGACACTTGCCCAGGAACACATCGACAATTCCACGTGTCACCTGCATCAATTGAGTTTGGTCCGCTTCCCACTGCGGCTATCCAGCGCCTACCAAAGTACACGCCAAGTAGCCCTGCTTCGACTCAGATGCACCATGCACGATGCAGTCAACCCCGGCTGACCCGCCTCAACTCCGAGTATCAACTCCGTCGACAATCCTTCCGCCCTTCGCCGTATCCCCGCCTGCCTACAGATCTCGCACTCTGACCTAATACGCCCTCGGATATCGGAAGCAAGCCGATGACACCGACATTGCCGGACGCGCCTGGCAGACGCATTCGCAGCCAGACAGGTCTCGCTCACTTTCAAACATGATGTGGCCATCGCTGCTGTGTCTTGTAAGTCATTTCGGCGTACTGATGGTTACAGCTTAGCACCAGTCCGCAATGCGTTTTAGCCCACTGTCGATCTCGTCTTGGCCAACACTCCAACACGCTCAAAAGACCCTGACTGCGACGCTGTGACGCCGCAGCGCATCACAGTTCTGTTCTCCTCCGACAGGGGAAAACACGCACTTTTTGTGCCAGCCAGGCAGCGCAGGGCAGGGTAGGGTGGCAGGTAAGCCATGAGGGTAACGGGGACGGTCGTCAATGTTAGTGCCATACTGACTGCTCGCGGCGGGCTTGTCAAGACAGGTGAGGCAAGCCAAATGGCGCTTCATCTCTTCGAAAACGGCCATTGAATGACGATTATCGATCACTGAGCCTGCACCTGTCGATCGGCATCTGACGAGACCAGCCACCAACCGGCAATTCTCGTGTCCATCAAGCATCTCGGCCTCTTCACTTGGCCGGAAATGGCACACACTCTCATAATTACACGCACACATGGCCTCGTCTCAGATCGTATGCCTCTTTGTGGCCCTCGGTCCTCTCACCCCATCGATACGACCAACTCGCCCTCCTCAGACCACTTTCAATACCACTCTGTCAATCTCGACACGCTAGTGGCTGCTTCCCCTCATCTTCGCACCTTCCCCTCTCTCGCGCTTTTCCCTTCTGCCTCGTCCGCGGCATGCTTCGCACGTGGCAAACGCACTCATTCCCGGCCGTCAGGCACTACCTAGCCTCGTGGACTGCATGGGTTTTCTGATCTCAACGGACGGCACATTCCCATCGCTGGATGTCCAATTGAAGGCTACTTCCTGCCTGCCGTGGAACATGCTTCGCAGCCTGTGCCACCTTTAAACATGGCATCATCTAGGATTGCCTTTTGAACGAATCACTCAGACTCGCAATTGCCCATTTCATGATTCACGTCCTGGACTATGACAGGGTTCTTGAAGCTCACCAGGCGGAACTCATCTCATTCTTGGTCCCCCTCACGTCGCTCAAGAAGCTTTGGGCACTCCTTCTTTTCGCCTGCCCGCCCTGGTCTGTCGAAACTTTCCAGCTCTTGAGTTTCATTGAGCATGTCGACCCCCAAAACCCCCTCGTTTCCGGACCTGGCCACGCCATGGCTCTCATTTGACTTCATCCGTTTGTCGTCGTGTCAAAATGTCCAACGCAACCGGCGCTCTTTTCTCGGAACGGCTCAGAATCGCCAGCCAGCCCCGAGTCATGAAAATCGTTCGGCTCGGACTTGATTACGACGGGAAACGGATACTGCCCACTCACACGCGGTCCGAGTCACTGTGCCCACCTCTTCCACGTGGTTTCCCGCAGATGGGAAACAGATTCCTGGGAGCCCCCATACGACGCCAACGTTCGGGTCGGGTGGAAACCTCCAAAAGGCTGGTGGCTGCCGACATATTTGGCATTTCACGCCGATATACAGATGGCTATCCTGGATGACCGTAAACTTAGCTGTGTGTCTGGTTCCGCGACAGCCGCTAAGCGCCAACTTTCTCGTGTTCATCGGCTTGGAGGCGTGTCTCTCGGGTCGCGTGTCGTCAAGATCGATGGACAGTCTCCGCGATACCTGCTCCAACCGCAAGCCCTGGGGCCTGGCTGTTTGCTTGCAACGCTGCGTCGCTCTTTGGTGGGGGCGATCTGCCAGTCCAAGACAAATGCTACCCGCAGGCGCCGTCTGAGTTTTCCCTCAATCAACCTCCTGGCAAACATGTGTCAGCCGTACTGGGGAAAGTAATGACCGCCAGACGATCGCCCCCGAACACGATATCAACGAGACAATTTGCGCACGTCAGGCCTAAAACTGAACTCCGGCCAAAGTCAGAAAGGCGCCGACTGCTGGGCTGCAAGACTGATTCAGCATCCATGCCCGCAACGAGCCCGACTCAACCGGCCTGTCTCAGGGCACAATTTCTTCTTAGCTCGCCGTCAGTTCCGCTTGGGCCGCCGGCTTGTTAGCTGCGGCCCTGACAAGCGTCTGCCGACTGCCGTCTGCGTGCTGCAGCTTGTCAACGGATGCACTGGCCACCCTGCAGCGCCGGGGCGGCGGAGACTGACGAACCCTCAACGGTGCCAGCTCCAACTGCAGTGTAGCCAAGATTTCTTTTTTCCGTGGAGGGGGCGGTAGGACCACAGTAAAAGACAGGCCAGTGCCTCAAGTAAGTTTGTCGTCTCCTCTGGGGTGCGTTGCCTGTGGGCAGGCAAACGAACGGTCAAAGTCCCGGGCTTTGTCGTCGTCTCATGAAACGAATTGTTCACGGGCGGCTGCATTGATGATCGCCGCCTGACGAAGGGACGGGACGAGGGTTGACATCATCAACTTGTCCAAAAGTTCAACCTGGCCACCTGGCCTGGAAAGGAGCGCACTGGAGGCGCCCGCCAGTAATATCATCATCTTCTGGAAGAGCCACTGCGAAAGTCAACCGCGGCTCGAAGGCTGTTGATAATTCGCTTCCAGAATGATTTTGCATCACGGTCTCGCAGGGTTTTTCGAACGGTCCGATGAAGTGGCCCATTACTCATCGGGTGCTATTGTAAGGAGGGAGCTCGACGCTTTGGATGCCGGGACGATAGGTGCCGCGGGAAGGCAAACGGCTCAGCATTCCGCGGCACCCATCATCCACGTACCCAAAGCGTCTCGTCTTTCGTTGTGCCTCCCAGCCAAGGTGCTTGCTGCAGACGTCAATGCTGGCTTCCCGTGTCAGTCATTGTGGATGATCCTTCATACGAGCATGGTATAAATAAGCTGGCGAGGATCATTCTTGATTGCCGTACTAGAGGTAGGCCTCGGGCGTAGGAGATGCAACAACTTGCGTCTTTGAACGCCCGCCTTAAACTCTGTGGGAGAAGGGATAATCACAGATTTCCCATCGACCTCATTGCGACGATGTCCTCAAGTTAACAACACCGTTACGCCTTAAGGATGGCCGTCCGCAGGGTCTGCTAGTCACCTCCATGAAGCAAGTCATCTAGAACTCAAGTGTGAATCATGTTGCTACTCATTCTGTATGGAGAAAGCATTCTTGTACCAGCACCAGCTGGCCCTCCATCTTGTGCAAGTCGGTATTACATGTCGCGATATCTCTCAAGTCTGTGATTTACACTCGATACAACAGCTGTGGCTTCACAGCTCCGTCCAGCCTTAAGCCAAGGCTTGCAGGTTGATCCCTCTTCCTTCAGATCTCTAGTATCTCCGATGACACAACCACATCTGAACCCCTCCTGTGCCAAACTAGCACAAAATAGGTCACCTTCATGTGCTCCCCTGGTGATCTGGAACAACGACCGGCAGACGAACCCGCGGCCGTTCACTCCACCGTTTACACCCCTCTTCCAACATCTGAATACCCTCCTTAAACCGCGCGGGAGCATAGTGAGTCGTGTACGCAGCCCTCTTCAGGCCTTCCTGGCCTTTCTCCCGCTGATTCGGAAGACGGACCTCGTCCCCAGGCTGGTCCGCCTCCCACCGCTCGACAACCTCCAAGATCTCCTCCCACCGCAGCTCAAAGTGCGCCGCGACGACCTCTCGCCACGGGCTTGACTCGAGCTCGCCGCCGTTGAGCTTCGTCAGCCACTCGGCCAGCGCGTACCGCGTCGTGTCGGCGCGGACTTCGACGTTGTACACCCGCGAATGCAGCGGCGTCAGGGTGTTTTCCAAGCCTGGCTCGTTCCACAGCGGCGACTCGGTGAAGACCATCGCTTGCAGGGAGACGAGGAGTTGTAGGAGGGTCGAGTTCTCGGGGTTCCAGCTGGGTCCTTCCCAACTGCCGAGAAGGGATAAGCAGACTGCGTCAACGGTGGTTAGCATAGACCTTCTAAAGTATGTAGGAAAACCTCACCAAGACCGTTGATGTAAAGATTAGGGTTGAACTTCCGGTCGGGCGGAGAAGTCCTGAAGAACACCTGTGGCGGGCTCTGGGGATAGTTCATGGGGCAGAAGAGATCGAAGTCGAAGAGCCCATTTTCGTATGGTGTCCCGGTAGGTCCGACAATCAAAAAAGTCATGACATCGAGTCGGTCGCTATGGTGCCGGACGAAGATGCCCTCGGGGATTGACGTTCGGAGGATTGAGAGTTCCCACACGAGGCGCTTCATGCGACCTGGTGGAGAGGTGTGCTTCTCGGTCCGCCTCAGGTCATTGGCAAAGTGGTATTCTCGGTGCCATGCCTTTTCATCAACCTCAACGACACGGCTATCAGAAAGGCTTCGCCTGAGCTCTTCTACACGTTGTTCTCCAGCACTGTAGCTCTTGGTGATGGGCGTATCATCTTTACCTACAGCGGTGGCACCGTCAACGGAGAGATGGGTCTTCTGGGAAGCTTCATATTGTTCGGCGAATTTGCAGATGCGATCATATACACCGCGAACCTGCTTTGCGTGCTCGTCGCTATCCTTGTGGTGCTTTAAGGCAAAGCGAACCGGGACGGCTAGACCAGGGAACAAGCTGACGAGTGGCGGCAGCATATTGAGTGTCTGCGACCCGTTGTGCTTTTCCTCGTACTTTGCGTTGAGAATCCTTGGACAGGAATGCAGCGAGAAACCAGTGTTTCTGAATGCAATCCGCAGGAGCGTCTGTTCCAAAGGGTGTTCTGGCCGGGGTCTAGCGAAAAGCGAGCGTGAGACGTGACGTTGATTCCAGACCAGGAGCAAGTTGAACAATGAATCGTATAGCTTGGGTCGACGCATAATCTCTTCGATGCAGTCGTCTTGCATGAGCTCGGCTATTTTAATGAGAAGGGGGCTTCGACGCGTCATGGCGGCGAGAAGACGCGGAGGTTTCTTGTCAAAGGCGCTCCTATTCCTAGACGTCGAAGGCCAGGCCTTTGCTAGCGCGGTGAGCATCTCGGGGAGGACATCAAGACTTCGAGAAATGTCCTTGAGCGAATTCTGATTGGATCCCTTGAATGGAGCGTCACTATCAGAGCCACCATAGCCGGTTCCAGCACCGGGTGCGGTGTTGACTCTTGTCTTCGGGCCAGCGCGAGATGACCTGGCCTTCACCTGGGTATCTTGATAGATGGATGCGGATTTGTCTCCAGGATGCGGATACGGACCGCAGAGCAGCGCGAAGATAAAGAAAAGACGGCCTCCGTTGCAGCACCATACATGGGTTTCTGACCCAGGTGCAATACATATCGAAGCGGAAGATTGGGTAGCGCAGCAAGGACACGATTCGGTTTTACAGTCAGGGTAGGGACAGGCGATTTTGGGACTCCAACGAGGATCGACAACGATTGGAAGACGGGATACCGCAGGATCTTGACAACCGTTAGAAAACCGATAACAACCACTAGATGTGACTCAAGTGCGCCAAGAAGCATCAGTCACCTTTGGACGCGGCAGCCATGATGGTTTGGTACATCATACGCTGGGTGTACGCAAAGAGGACTCTGCTATCATCCGTCATAGTTTCCCGTCGGCAGGTGGGACATCTGTGTTGGATTACACGGTGTACAAAGTATCTTATCGCCTTCTCTTCCTTGGTCGGATCCGACGACGGAGAACCGAAGGAGTCAAGGACCGGGTCGCAAGAGGGTATCGAAGGCATATCGAGGTCTCTATTGTGAGTGTCAGCATGTGATCGGTCGTTTGAAAGTTGCATCGTGGAATTAGCTGTGTACGTACGATACATTAGCCTGCTCGCAGCTCAACTCGAAAGGGAATGGGTCCAAGAATGAGGGCTGGTCAAAATCAGACCACGGGGCCTTAGTATCGGTCCACCGCATGTCGGAACCGTCAAAGGAATAACGTTGAGGAAGTTTCATAGCCCAATCTGTAAGAAAGTACACGGTAGGTAAATAGAGTAAGAACACTTGGGCCAGCTCTTCGTCCAGCAACGTCCCTAGGGTAATAATGAAAGTCAGAATCCGTCGACAGTGGTTGCGAAACGTGATCTCAAGATGCCGGATTCGGTGTTGATGTGACAAATGGGCTGTCGTTCGGAATTGAAGAACGACCATTGGGCAGAGTTGCCATTGAAAGGTTGAAAAGGTAGCAAGGTTAGTCAAACGGGTTTGTAGTCAACTCATGTGTTAACCCCAGCCCCCGCCGTTGATACTCTGAGGACATACACTATTGGCCAATAGGAGAGTACAGAGACTTGGTTGGCTGACAGAAAGGTAGTGCCTCAAAGTATGCCACAAGCAGTAAACGTTAGCAGAGTCGGGCTCCAATGAGGATCAAGCAATATTTTCTGGGCTGTATATACAATCCTTCGCCAAAATGGTGTTAAGTATGTACAAGAAGTGACAAATAAGGTCCGCTTTGCAAGATGACAGGGTGCATCGGAACCAGACCAAGCCTCTTAAAAGGCAGGATTGGCGTTGGTAAGAAGCTGCACGAAGTAGGCCTGGAACCACGTGCCGGCCTCGGGAGCGGGCTTGAGGGCATCATTCTTTCCACAGTTAAAGTCATAGCGAGCCGCACTGGTGTCAGAGGTACCGTCACTCTCGCCACCGGGCTTCACCCAGACGAAGGCGTCAACAAGCGAGGAACCCGTGTTGGTCGATGGGCGCAGCCCGAAGCCGGTGCCGACGGCATTGCACCAATCACCCCACGCCTCTTGGCCAGTGGGTTGCTTGCCAGAGCGGCCTTGGTCAACAATGAACTGGGCGTTCCACCCTTGGGCGCTAAGAAGAGGGGCAAGTGCCTCAACGTAATGCTTCTCGTCGTAGTTGGAGTTGCCTAGCAAAGTTAGATTTGACAACGTTGAGTTAGGGCGCGATGCCTACCTTGAGTGTAAGAGGGAGGAGAGCTGAGACTCCAGGCATTGTCTGCGAAACGTGTCAGAAAGAGTTCAAATCAGATGACAGGCAGATACGGACAGTTAGCGACGTTGGTAACGATGCCACGGAGAGCCTTGGGGGACCCGGCATCCTTGTAAACCTTTGCATACATGTTGGCGGCAGGGCCAAGGTTGGCTTGCCAGCCAAGCCAGCCGGCATGCCCACCATCGAGATACATGGCTACGTTTGGAAGGTTGAGCTGAGTAACGGCGTAGTTGGTGCACTCAAGGTACGCAGCCTGGGCACCAGAGCACTTGGCAACATTCAAGTTGGTGACAAGGTTGGCCAGGGAGTCGGGCTCTGGATTGTATGTCAGACACAGCACAACATAGCAACAAGATAATAGAATGACGAACCAACAACCAAAAGAATGCGAATGTCGGAGTACTTGAGAATCATGGTGCGGATGGCATCAATGTACTCCTTGTACTTGGCAACGCCGCCGTTAGCAATCGAGTACTCGCCGTTGGAGGCGGCGGCGGCACAGTCACGGTCTGGGAGATCGTAAACGACGAACTGGCCCGCATAGTTGGCGCCGGCCTGGTTGGCCTTGCGGATGTCGGCGAGAGTGGAATCAACCAAGGGAACCTTGGCGCGAGTGTCCATCCACATGAAGGTAGGGACCTTGGCAACCTTTGCGGCCGCGGTAGCCTGGGCCGGGGTAAGAGACGGGATAGCCAAGGTCGAGATCTCGGAGGCGTAGTACGAGTTGGCGTAGAGATCGACGCCGGCGAAGGGGTTACCGGTGTAAGTGGCGCCGCCGGTAGGGACGGGAGTGGTGCCAGAGCTAGTAACGCGGGTGGTCGTCGCGCCGGCGGTGGTTGATGAGGCTCGAGATGTGCTCGCGACAGTGGTGGAGCTTGCGCGGGTAGTCGAAGTGGCAGACGGAGCGGCAGCACCGGGAATGCACTGGCTGTACCATTCGTTGGTAACGACACAGCTGCTGCCAGAAGCACAGCAAGTCGCGCCCGTCCAACCGTTGCCACCGCACTGAGTCCTACAGGGTGTTAGTCTGCGCGTATGGCAATCTTTTAGACAGTCTTACCAGGCGGCTCCGCAAGATTGCCTCTCCTCGATGGGAACGGCAAAGGCAACGCTGCCCAAAAGGGCAGCGGCAAGGAGCGATCGAGCAGCCATTGGTGATGAGGTTCAAGAAGATGTTGTTGGCTGATCTGATGATGCTGTCCGTGGCTGATAGATGAAAATCTTGAAGGGAGCCGGGCGACTGCCCTTTTATCATGTCTTGAGCCATGGCAGTCTGGCAGCTCCCGATGGGTTCACGACTTAGGCTTTCGGATCGACGGGATGAGTGAAGTCTGGGCCCGCGAGGTAGGGAGGCCCTTTGCCCCACGATCTCGGAGGGAGGTCTCGGCATTTTGAGTCCAGTTTGCCCCTTTCAGACAAGCGCTGAGGGCACGGGCGAAGCCGAAGGAACCATCGTGCTATCGTGCCCATGGGGTTGTGGAAGAGGCATCCGGAGCTGGAATCGGTTCCATGGATTGAACCAGGACGATGGCACGTCAAGACCGGGGGCGAAAGCTGGGCATCAAGGTAAAGTTCGTCGAAGGCGCATCTTGAATATGGCTGATGGTGATATTCGATGGCGTTTTTGGGGAAAGTCCGCCAACCAAGGCGTGGCCAGGCTTCGGGTTGGATGTAACGCAGTCTTAGTTATTTCGGAGGCGACGCTCCATGATAGCCGTGTACGGAAGAGCGTTCTGGTCATGGGGGCGCGGCGGATGTGGAGACGGCTGAGGAGGGTGCCATGAGGGGTCGGAAAGGCTTCAAATCTTTCCGGCCGGGTGGGATTTGGACTGATTCTTGAGCTGGAATACCGGCTGAACCATCCGAGATAAGCTGGTTGGAGAGGCTTGCCGGGCGCGATTAATCAATTACCGGAAGCTTGCGTGATGAAGGCGTCGCGAGTCCATCCTCGGAAGACGTGGCGGCCAGGCGTAGCAGCAGCAGTGGCAACAACCGAGCTGGGTGATCGGAAGGCGTAGCGAAAGATGCTTGGCTCCAGGTACCATCAACGATGATATGTGTCTCTCGTCCTCCTGCTTGCTGGAACCGAGCCGCACGCCAGGGACTGCAGGGGATGGCAAGCGAGTTGGGGAAATTGGGGTTCTTGGTGGTCGGGCAGCGGCTGTGTGTGGTGCAGTAGTACTCGGCTCTGTCTTGAGTTGATGAAATCATTAGGAAATGCAATCAATAGTGATTGCTTTGGCCTGACAAGCTTTGATCAGCATCTTGCACTCCCAGGTTTGTGGAAACGATGGATTTTGATGTTGCGACCAAACGACTTCATGTCGTCTCGACAGTGTCACGATCACGACTGACGAGGAACGCCGACGCGAACTCTGAAGGAACAAGTGCGGGTTGAATATCGAACCGAGACAGACGGTGTAGCGAGACGAAAGCAGTTCAAGGTACAGAGTACAGGAGTGATCTTTAGCCGGCGGACGAGGCCATCTTGGCTGTGCTGACCAGGTGCGGCAGTCGATGATGACACTGTATTGTTTTGGTTATCTCAGAGGCAATGAGACTGAACGCAGGAGAAACGTGCGTGGTATTCTAAACTGTAGCTCTAGAAGGTAATGGTATCGTATCGGATTGCGATTGGAATTGTTATGTCGTCCAACGATGTTGGTGGTCGAGGGGAGCAGACAACGGGATGGCGAAGGGAAGGAGGACAGAGGAGTGCCAATTCTGCCAGCGCACTGTCTTGAAGACTGTGCTTACATAACAACACCGCCCCACCACCGACCGTTGCGTGCACGTGCCATTCTTCATTTGGCAGGTGGATCACGTAATGCAGGCTCCACCGCCTGCACGGGGCATCCTAGCTTCACCGCCCGGACCCTCCAATGGACGGCAGAATTTCGCAGCCAGCGCCCAAGCCCGAAACTCTCGAAATGAAGCTCCCCGTTCCCGCTCCCGTCTCCGTCCCCTGACAGCCGACCGAGATCCCGTCGCAACCCAATTCCCACCCCGCCCTGCGCCCTGCGACGTCTGCCCGCGACAAGCACTTCGAAGCTTCTTCTACGCGTCGATAAGCTTCCTCCCGGCTCGACGAGACCCATCCTCCCACCGACACCGAGTCCCGAATCGCTGGCCGCCGTCCGTGGGCGCCGATAACACCCCCCAACATGCTGTCCGGCATCCTCATCTTCAACCAAAAGGGCGAGAACCTCATCTTCCGCGCCTTCCGCAACGACTGCAGACCCCGCCTGGCCGACGTCTTCCGGATTCAAGTGATCTCGAACGCCCAGGTCCGGTCTCCTATCCTCACCCTCGGAAGCACCACCTTCAGCCATGTCAAGCACGAGAACATCTACCTGGTCGCCATCACCAAGAGCAATGCCAATGCCGCTCTCGTCTTCGAGTTTCTGTACCGCCTGATTGGCCTCGGCAGGGGCTACTTTGGCAAGTTTGATGAAGAGGCTGTTAAGAACAACTTCGTGCTTGTCTATGAGCTGCTCGATGGTACACGCTCCCCCCATGTCCTGCTTACAAACTCTCTCTCTAACGATCCGGGCCAGAGATTATTGACTTTGGCTACCCCCAAAACACCGAGACCGATACCCTCAAAATGTACATCACCACCGAAGGTGTCAAGTCAGAACGCGCCGCCGAAGACTCGGCCAAGATTACGATGCAGGCCACTGGCGCCTTGTCATGGCGCAAGGCCGATGTGAAGTACAGGAAGAACGAGGCCTTCGTCGACGTGATCGAAGACGTGAACCTCCTCATGTCCGCCACCGGCGCCGTCCTCCGCGCCGACGTCACCGGCCAGATCATCATGCGCGCCTACCTCTCCGGCACCCCCGAGTGCAAGTTCGGCCTCAACGACCGCCTCCTCCTCGACAACGACGGCCTCCTGAGTCTACCGAGCGGGAACAGAATGGGCACAAAGGCGACCAAGGCGGCTGCCGGCAGCGTTACCCTGGAGGACTGCCAGTTCCACCAGTGCGTGAAGCTCGGCAAGTTCGACAGCGACCGCATCATCTCTTTCGTGCCCCCGGACGGCGAGTTCGAGCTCATGCGCTACCGTGCCACCGAGAACGTCAACCTGCCCTTCAAGGTCCACGCCATTGTGAACGAGGTCGGGCGCACCAAGGTCGAGTACAGCATCGGCATCAAGGCCAACTTTGGGTCGAAGCTGTTCGCCACCAACGTCGTTGTCCGCATCCCGACACCGCTCAACACTGCTAAGATCACGGAGCGCTGCACCCAGGGCAAGGCCAAGTACGAGCCAAGCGAGAACAACATCGTATGGAAGATTGGTCGTTTCACCGGTCAGAGCGAGTTCGTGCTGAGCGCTGAGGCCATATTGTCGAGCACGACGAATCAGCGCGCCTGGTCGCGGCCGCCTCTGAGCCTCAACTTTAGCTTGTTGATGTTTACAAGTTCTGGGCTGCTGGTTAGATATCTAAAGGTATTTGAGAAGAGCAACTATTCTAGTGTCAAGTGGGTGCGGTACATGACGAGGGCGGGTTCCTATGAGATACGGTAAGTCTTTGCAGTCAACTCCGTTCCATGCCCGGGCTGAGCTAACGTGCCGACAGATTCTAGTGGGGTAATTATTGTAGTTTCAGCTTGTGGTATATGCATAGTACGGCGTCAAAGGGTATTCCCAGTCGAAAAGCTGGAGGGCAGCACGTTTTGTCGTTGTTTACGGTGGCCACGTTGTTATCCGTCTCCATTCGAGGCAATAGTAATACAAGGTGTTCCAGCCAACCCCAGACCATCATCCTCTTACCCATCGCTCGCTCTTCGTCAACACACGTCAGCGCCAAACATCCGGGCTCGGGTAAGCTTACACCCTCTCAGAGACCGTGTCTGTATCCAATCCACTCTGATTGGTTTCAGCACGACCATCGCAGGCTCATCTCCCAAACCATGTCCATCTTCTGTTCCGGAGCGCCCTCCGGATTACAGTCCATCAACGTTGTCGTATCCAGCCCATCCACGGCTTCGTCTTCAACCACCAAAACCCTCACCCCCTGAAATTTCCTCGCATCCGCGTCAGCCTGCTGGCTCCGAATGGTCTCGTCCATGGCTCTCGCGAAAACGAAACTCGGGTGTTTGTCCGTCCACCCCATCCCCTCAAAATCAAAAACCTCGCGATACGTCTTGCCAACTCCCCTCACCACATCCGGTTCCCGGCCTTGGGTCTCGTCGTAATGCAGCTGCCGGTACAGCTCACCTCTCTCCTGCAACTTGTCCGCGGCCATTTCCTTCCTTCCGCACCGTGAACACCGTCCAGGACAATGATCAACCAGATATAACACCCGCAGCCCCTGCTGCAAACAGCACCCCAGATACGCAACCTCCTCCAACAAGACCGCCCCAACAGTCTCCTTCGTCCACGTCTCAGCAACGTCCAGCGCAATCTTCCTCCCGCCGTGCAACGTCGCCGCCATCTCCGCGCTCCACGGCCCCTCGAGCACTTCGCTCAGACTGTTCGCCCCAAAGGCATCATACTCCCCAAACAGCACTCCCTGCGATAGCTCAGTCACCGCGCCCCCGTCTCTGAACCTCAGGAAAAGCACGTCCTCCTCATTGTCGTACACGATCTTCTCGTTTCGTCCAGGCAGACATACTGTATTGACGTCCTTCCCCGGCTTCGCAGTCGCTCCTAAGGCTTCGGCGGACGTAAACTGCTGCGCGCGCCGTTGCTTATACACGCTCGGGTCGTGCGCATGTCTCGCGACGCGCGTGGAGCGCGCCAGCTCTGCTGGTCCAGCCTCTAAGGCATCGAGGAAGACGCACTGGCTGTATTTGCTCCAGCGCGCCTGATTCGCTTCCGACATGTGGCCGTCGGCATCTTGGAAGGCGCGTTTGCTGCGTTCCGCGCCGCGCCAGGATGGGAAGCAGACGTCGAAGACGTGCATTGAGGGTCCTGCTGATGCGTCCTCCCATATTTTGAGACGCAGTTCGGCGGGGAGATCGGAAAATCTGTGGAATGATCTCGGTGACGTCGTGAAGTGTCTAGTCGTTGCCATTGCACCGGTTGGTTTGATCGAGTGAAGTTGGATCCGGGGCAAGAACCGATGAAAATATCTAGACGGAGTGGTTGCGATTATATCTTTCCGGAGACGCATCGTAACTTGTGCCAGCAGCCACTCATAGTACTCCGCAGCGAGGTCGAACAACGCATCCATCTGTCGCCGGTGCTCAAGCACGCATAAGATTCATTTTAACTCATTCAAAAGGGCAGGTCGTATACATGATTCTTCCCGAAAGATCACCCTTCCCTTATGAGGTTTTGCGTATAGCTCAGCACTAACATGAGCCGACCCAGTCACGGAGACAATGAACCCTGTAACGTTCCGCGCAAGAAGCCACGCGAACGCGCCCGGCGTCTGACGGGCTGGTCGCCAATGCTTACACCGGGTGTGCGGCGCCATTTCCGTATTGGCCGTTGATAAGCCCCTTTCTCTCGTACCGCCGCTCTGGGTCGTGTTGACAAGGGCCTCACAGGGGTTGAGGGATGCCAGCGCAGCAACGTGAGAATTGTTTGGAGGAGGCTCAGCTGAGAGAATTTGATCTCGCACATTGGATCCAGTCTTGGCTGTGGGCCAATTGCCTCGAAAGTCGCTGGCCTCATGGGTGGGAAGAGTAGGATATTCGGCTGGTGGCAGGTTCTAAGTGCTGACGGGCGCAAGGCATCAGCGTTGGGACGGATCCTTCGATGCCGCCAAATTCCGGCAATAGGAGAGGGAAAGGGCGGATTTCTCAATCTTGGCGCTTGGCCTTTTATTCCCCGCGTCCTTCAATAGAGCCCCGAAAAGTGAATATGCAGATCACCGGCCCTCGGACCGGGGCAGCGGGCGCAAAACTCGCAGAGGTGGGGCGCAAAGCCGGACCAGACGCGGAACCCTTCGCAGGACAGCATTCGTTGCGGTGCAGCTTTCAAATGTGCCATGTCGCGCTTAAAATTCATCATCTTATTGCACTTATAATCATTAAAATTTCCAATCGGTCGGTGCTTACACCCCTGAATCGTTCTGCAGCATAACCGCATCCTCGCAAGCCGGCCAATGAGTCTGGTTCGTCGGATTTCCATCCTTATCCTTCCTGGGCACCTCTCCCGGCCAAAGATTTCTGCAATTGTGAGCCCAACTGTTCCAATTCTCGCACACTCGATACGCCTCATCCAGATCTGCCGAGTTGCCAGGCGGCCAGAACTCGTTAGCTGCGCTCTGCCTTTCCATAATCTGCATCGAAAGCCCGCCCGCGGCGTGGAAGGCAATGTGGCAGTGAATCAGCCAGACGCCGGGGTTGTCTGTCTTGAAGCCGATGACGACGTAGCCCTGAGATGGGAGGAGAACAACGTCACGGCGAGGAGGGTTGTTCAGGTTGTTCTTGGTGGGGTCGTATGTTGCAGGGTCCCAAAGCTCGTCGTCCACTTCGCGGAGAATGGCAAAGTCATGGCCGTGTAGATGGATCTAGATAGTGTCAGCTTCGAGGCACTGGGTAATAAAACAATGTGTCGCCTAATTTTCTGTGCTAGAGTGATTGCTTTTCCTGTACACTTAATGACTCTTATCGAAGACGACGATAGTAGCGACGATGACGATGACGACAGTAAGGTAGAGTATGAAATCGCAGGAAAAGCAGTCACGCTAGCACAGGAAAGATAGGCGGTCTCTTGAAAGGTTTGACTTACTGGATGAGGCCCAAAGGTCCCCTGTGACGAGTCGTTTGCGCCGAACATTACCAGGTGAACCTATGCCGGCACTTAGTCAGAAAAGACACATACATCATTCTACTATAGACTCACCCAGTCCTTCTCAGTGTAATTCTCTGGAACCACGACCCATCCGACAGGCCACTTCTCCCGCACGTTGGCCAGGTTCAGAAACGTTGGGTTACCATAGTCCGTCTGGAATGGATTCTGCTTGTCGCTCCCCGCGCGGTCCAGTGAGATGAAAGACGTTCCGTACGGACCTTCCCCGTGAAGAAGAGACACGTTGAAGTTGTCGTTGGTCTTATTGTTCTGCGGTAACCCTACCGCCCATGGCACGACTGGATCCAGCCTGGAGTTTGCTTCCGTGTCAGAACAATTTTGATTGAAGGTCCAAGGCAGACTGGAAGGGTTTGTCTTGCTCTCTGTGTTGTATCGGAGGATTCCTGTTTGTGAGTACACCGTAGTAGTCCCGATCCTGCCACATGCCACGCCGTCTCCTGCGACCCAAGTGCGAATCCAGAAGTTGCAGTCCTCTGGCAGAGGGTTTTGCGCTGGGTTGCTGCTGTTGAAAAGAGGACTGGCCTCAACGATAATGTTGTAACGTTGCCCAATTGAAACCAGCAGGGACGACACATTGAACGGGGTGACGGGAACAAAATCCGCCTCGACAATGGTCAAGAGATGATTGTCAATAGAGAAGACAAATGTCGTTTGCCAGGATGTGTTGATCAATCGTAGAAGATAACGCTTGGCTCTTGTGAGAGGATTCGGCTCAATGTTATCGAAGTGAATTTCATAAGGTGCCGGGACGGGCAGAAGCGCCTCCATACTGCTGTTGTATCGAGTGATGTTACCAACAGTGTGCCCGACGCTTCCAAGGAGAATGTCAGGAAAGATGGCATCTTGGTAAAGCGCATTGAAGGCACCGTTGTGCACTGATTCATACGGGTGAGCTACACCAGTCGGAAACAGTGCTGTTACGTCTTGACTTACACCAGTCAGTAACGATGAGTGGCTCAATTGCCTCATCATACGGAGCTACTGTAGGGCCATGGACGGTCTAGATCAAGTCAGTAAAACATCCGTCTTCCGGGTGAGACGCTCTTACAATCGGAGCCTGAAGCCCGTCGGCGTACTGGACACTGTAGTGACTGTGGTACCAAGAGCTCCCATATTGTGTAGCGTTCCAGATATAGACGAAGTAGTCTTCTGGGGCTATGGGACACTGAGTAATGCCGTTGACACCATCCATGTGCATCGTGTCCTTTTGCCGGATTCCATGCCAGTGAATGCTCGTTCCATTCAACCCCAGAGAATTTGTGACGTTGACGTGGACTCGGTCACCCCAGCAGGCCTCTATCAAAGGGCCGGGAAAGGTGTTGTTGAACAATTTTGCTTCGGTGAAGTTCAGTCCATCGACATTGACCCAACCATCTGCGACATCTAGAGTAAAGTAGCGATCAATGCCATAAGGCATCCAGTCTTCGTAGTCAGTGGTGATGTTGAACTGCTCCCCAGTCTCAGGATTCCGAAGCCAGCATGATTGATCTTCCGACCCACCACAGTAATGCCAGCCTTTCATACTGGGATACTGACATCTGAAATGGTCAATATTGCTGCCAGTGGGACTAAAGTCAGGGTATCCAGGGTAGTCATCCGCAGTGGTGACATTGTTAAACAAGTTGAACTTTGTGTGACCTCGTGATACGTCTCTTAGTAGGGGATCGCCAAAGAGCGAGCGGGAAACATCAGTGGTGATGACCCAGATCTGCCGTAGTGATAGCATGACGACGCTTGAGAGGCAGACTGGCTGTCGCGCAGGTGGTCTAGAGAACTTGCTCAAAAGAGTTGGCAGAACCCACTCAAAACACCGTCAGTC